CAGTGTATTATTTGTTGAAACTGTACTTCCGATTTGATTTGAAACTGTCTCATTGCTATCTGTTTATCAATAAAACTTTGAAAAAAAAAGATATACTTAATACTATTGACATGCACGCTAAAGATTATGAAGATGGCGATTATGCTTGTGATTGTTGCCATATTTTTTAATTGGGGTCTAGAATCAAAATCAAATAAACTGGATAAAATACATTGTCTCAACTCCACATTAATGACAAGTAACTAGACAAACCATTATGCTTTAGTTCTTAACCTGTAAGCAGGGTTTAAAAAATGAGTGTCTAGCCAATGTATGGAGTAGTTGTGAAAATTAAATTAAATAATACACATTAAGCATTCAATAGGTTTCTTTAGCAATTATATCCTTCTACTATAAATCCCATTGTTACAGAATACTATCTAGTTCCAGAAATATGCACTTTATAAACTGTCTTACTGTAGTTGTCCTGCTACTTTAGAACAAATGGCCTGTCTGCATGCAACTTTTTCTGTAGGTCATACAATCCATTCATCAACAGGGATAATAATATATGTTTCTAACTATTGGGATACAATGGGTATTGTACACTCATAAAAATGGTAGCCCTCCACTTGATGTACATAAAAATGGATAAATAGTATATTTTATTGATTTGGTTTTAAGTAAATGGAAGAAAAGCCTCTACTAAACTGAAATGTTTTCTCACTTATTAATCAAGCAGTCTCTGAAATGCTTCCCATGTTCCAGGATTATACTAGTACTAACAATGAAAATATTACTTTTGTAAATGTTTCCTCTCTTTGAGCATCATAAATATTATCAGCAAAACATAACATCGAGTTCAGAACAAAGTGTTTTTTCTGGCATGAAGATTCCCTCAGGGTGCTTGGGGACTTGGATGATGATAGGGGAAGCTTGGAAAGAGCTGAGGAACAGCTTCTACGTGAAGAAACGCTGGAAACGCAAGCCAAGTGGAGGCGATTCAGTCTAAGAGCTCAGAACTGCATGCGATGCCTAGTAAAAATAACCTCAGACAGCCCCAGGAAATTAAACATCAACTAATTCAACTCAACTCTTTAACCAGTGCCCTGCACAAGTTTTCTCAAATCCCTAAGCTCGCAATATTTCAATTATTAGTAAAACCCCATTGAAATCCAAGATATAGGAGACAGAGACTGTCAAAAGCACAATTCTCTGATTTCTAGAGATTACTCACTCTCTTCCATGAGGTTTTATAGTGCAAGTGTTCCCATCTGCCTATGTACCAGGTAAAACAGACTAGGAAATGTTGAGCAACTGGCAGAGTCACAGATACCTCCTTTGCTGCTCTTCAAATACGTAAATACCAGCCCCAGAGTCAGCTGCCGTGTGACGGTGCAAATCGTGCTTGCATTTGATACAGACAAAAACAAAGGTTTTTCTCACCGTAGAGCCAAGATGCCTAGCTACTAGTTAGGTGGAACAATAAACTTATGTAGGACAACCTATTCCCAAAAATAATATTTTTGTCTGATCCTTCAGGTCAAACACAAGGAAAACACTCACTGTTATGACTACCTTTGGCTGTCTGAAGTAAATGAAGATGCACATCACACTGCGAACGCTGTGTTCTCCCTAAGCCACAGCTTTGTCCACCTTGAGCCTGTTCCCAGGAAACTGCCATGTGGCCAAACGCAAAATATCCAGGCACACTACATTCTAAATAAACAGGAGCTAAAGGAGCTCGTCTTCTATTACCTGGTGAGAAGCAAGGTCATGCTCTGACCTCTCTGTAGCCAAAAGTCCTCTGGGGGACAAGAAATGGTAAAGCTGTTTGGATATTTTGACTTCTCTGTCATTTTTAATGTTTCACTTCTCTTGGGTCTGATCACTGCCAAGTCTAGAATAAGATCTCTATTAAGGCAAACTAAGTTTCCCTTTATTTCTATTTTGCAGATAATGGCCAAGGGAGGCATTGTCCAGTCTGGGGCTCAGAAGATTGCTGTGGACCAGGGAAATCGTGAGTATTTCCATAATCTGCACCTTTCTGCCCCATTATGCCCATTCAACCTGACTCTATAGATAGATCAGGAATACTTTCAAATGGAGATCATTTCCATCTCAGTACAACAAGGAAAGGCCCGGCCGAATAGCTCAGTGGATTCAAGCACCTGCAAGCAGGTGCAGGGGCCCCAGGTTCGATCCCTGGGCCTGCTGTGCTGGCCCTACCCCAGAGGCGTGCTGAGTCAGCAATTGAGACTGAGCATGATGGCGCATGCCTGTAATCCCAGCTCTTGGGAGGCTGTAAACAGGCAGATCACTACAAGTCTGATCTAGTAGTCAGACCCTGAACACCCTGTAGACCCTTGCCTAACAAATACAAAAAAAAAAAAAAAAAAAAAAAAGGAGAAAGTTGAGTTAGGGAAAAAAAGAATGCTTCTTGCCTTCACTTTTATCCAATTTTTTTTCTTCCCCCTATTCTGTTTAGATTGTGAAATGTAGATGTTGTGTGTATGTTACCCACATTCTAAATGTTTGCTATAAATACTTCTGGGCCCTCTTCTCAAAATCAGATTTTCAGAACTGAGTTAGAGAACAGGAAGGAGGGAAGGTGCTTTCTACATACCAGGTTGTGTAGAGTCGTTTATGTCTGTTTAAGTATCTCATTTCTCATACAAAGGAAGTTACAACTACTGAGGGCTAAATTTGATACTTCTGTTAGTGCATGAGACCTCCCTGTGAGCCTTTTAAGGAAACTCTGATTCTAGAGGAGTCTGGAGACTGACTTGCTGGGGAAATATCACGAAGTATTCCTTTGTTCCAGCAGAGACGCATCACGGTAGGCTGTCAACATAAACATCAGAAAAATAGGGACCAAAGCAGCAGCATCCTTCACTTAAGGAGAAAAAGATGTTTGTGTCACAGAAGAGTAAAGAGCATATAAGCACAAATACAATGTGTTAGAAACTCTTCCTGTTCCATCTCATAATCTTATGCTCCGTCTCCTCTTCTAGGGTGAGACCTAGATCAAACAGAAGCAAGCTAGCTCTCTTTCATGCCTTTAGGTAGCATCAGAGCTCTATGTCGTTTAGATAAAGCTGAAAACCGGTGAGAGGTTTGTATACAATTTATGTAGGAGAAATCACTTTCAGGGGCTGGTGAGATGGTTCAGTGGTCTAAAGCACCTACTTAGAACAAGCTTAGCAAAGCACAGGGACCGTGGTTCAATCCCCCAGCACCACATGCCAGCCAGCCCCGCCCCCTGGTGGGCTGAGCTGGCCACACACACACACACACACACACACAAATAAAAAAATAAATTAAAAAAAAAGAAATCACTTTCATACAGCTTTCTTTTTTTTCAAATTCTGGTGTTTCTAGAGATAGTTATTGACTCCTTACATGTACCGTTTGTGATATCTACTACTAGAAATGGTAAATATTTCTACTATAGAAATTATAAATAGGCTACCAAGCTTCTAAACAGGCTTTTGCAGCAGAATAATTTTATTTCAGCCCAGGGGAGATGTCTAACCCATGACTGTTTTCTCCCCCTCACTGTGCTCCAGCCAAAGGCCATTTCTCCATATTGATCCCTGTGGAGTCGGACTTGGCTCCTGTTTCTCGATTTCTCATCTATGCCATTTTACCTGACGGGGAAATCATTGGGGATTCTGCAAAATATGAGGTTGAAAAGTGTCTAGCCAACAAGGTGGGTATTTTATATCACACAATTTCAAGATTTCAAACTAGTAGTTACTGCCAACACCAGTATTTTTTACATTAGAGCTCTAAGGCCCAACAGTTCAGTGAATTCTCTGGAAATGCTGAGCAGGGCCAAGAGCTGGTTCATTTTGTAAAATTCTCAGCACAGCATTGTCTCTTACCCAGTGTCACAGATCATACTTCCTTCTGTAATGAAATGCTGGGAGACATGCAGCTCAGTTTTGGGGACTACAAGTAAACAGAACAAAATACACGGGCTCTTAGACCCAGGTGCATACCACCAGATTTGGTGAGCACCTTATTGTGCATCAAAGATTTTTAAAAAGACACCTCAAAATTAATTAGTTTATCAGAATAATTAGGAATCATTACAAACGACTCAATTAAATTCTGAGGATCAAAGCAAAGTAAAAAGGACAAAAATCTCAGTACTGGCATAATGCCAACCACCAGAAAGGCAAAGTAGTTAGGCCTGAAACTTCAGGAACATACTTAAATTTCAGAAGACATGGCGAAATTCAGAAATGCATTTTGCTGCCCTTTATCCCCAATTTGCCAGGTGGATTTGAGCTTCAGCCCGGCACAGAGCCTCCCGGCGTCACACACACACCTCCGCGTCACAGCTGCTCCTCAGTCACTCTGTGCCCTGCGGGCCGTGGACCAAAGTGTGCTGCTCCTGAAGCCCGAGGCCGAGCTCTCCGCCTCCTCTGTGAGTTCCCCTCTGCCTTGGGGATCAGAAGGACTCTTGCAAGGGGCTCAGTGCAAGGGGAAGTGCCGGAGTAGAGTAAGACCTCTTGAAATGCTATTGACCTGCTGAGCATGGTGAGCACGCCTAAAATCCAGCACTCAGAAGGCTGAGGCAGGAGAGGCCACACCTGTAATCCAGCACTCAGAAGGCTGAGGCAGGAGAGGCCAGCCCAGGCTACGTAGTCAGTTCAAGGCCAGCCTGCATTACATAGAAAGATCCTGTCTCAAAAAAAAGAAAAAAAATATTTTCATCATTTGCTTAAGGTTTTCAGCTTTTGTGTGTTCTTTTCATCATGAGGAAGATAACTTCATATGATCTCTCCTCTTTCTATCAATACACACGCATACAGGTACATGCATACGCACACTACTTGCTTGAACGGGTGAGAAAAGTTAATAAAAATTAACACATTGAGATAAATAAAAAAATATATTTTAAATCATGTATTTATTTGTGTACTTGGTGCAGGGTCTCTCTAAGCAGCTCAGACTCATAGTGATCCTCTGTCTCAGCACCCCCAGTTTTGGTGTCCAGAATAGCATGCCAGGGGTTCCAGGACTGGCACAGCATGCAGTACCGGAACTCAAACCCTGGTCCTTGTGCCTGCCTAGCTTGTCCTTGGGAGGCTGAAAAACAGTCTAAGCAGGGCTTTAGACTGCTGAGCTGTCTCTGCAACCCTAAAAAAAAAAAAAAAATTAAAAGATAAAATGTAATGAAAATTAACCATAAAGGACTTATGATTCATTCAGTTATGTTGGTCTAGGTCATAGAGCAACGCAAACCTAAATGTGGTTGTCAGGTCACCCCCACACACAGCCAGAGGACATGTAAGACAGACTGGAAAGTTCTGTGTGAGAGGGACAAATATGCAAAATAGAAGACAGGAGTAACTCTCACCGAGGCCTAGCGGGAGTCATTCATAAATTATATTTATATGATATAAAAGACACCATATTATATCCAAAGTCCCTGAAATCCCAAAGTGATGTAAACCAGTAATAAGGGTTTTCAACCTATTTTTAATATTTAAATCTGGGAATGGGGGAGGTGAAAGTGAGGAAGGAGAAGGGGAAGAGGAGATGAAGGGAAGAGGAGGGAAGGGGAGCAGAAGAGAGGGGAAAGGGCTACAAATGACCCAGGTGACACATGTACTTACCAATATCCCATGATTAACATAGTCATCACATATCATAAACATGTGCTAACGATTTCTTTTAATTTTTGAAAAGCTTAATGGAGGTGATATATTTGCTTACACTAACTCTCCACAGGCTAAAGAGCATTTCAGATTTTTGTTTTTATAAGATGTGTATAAAATTTCCTGGTTCCACCAAAGGAAAAAAAATGTATATAATTGAGGGCTGGGGAGATAGCTCAGAAGCACAAGCACCTTCTTGGCAAGTACAAGGTCCTGAATTCAATCCCTGATGCCAATTAATTAATT